TATAGTCCAGAGGACCCAGCAACTTCCGGAACTAGACGTAGAACTTGATCTCATCCGTGGGGTGCCCGTTCTGCAGGTGTGAAGAATGGAAGAGTCGTGGGGTCATGGGTTTATACCAAGGTTTTGAGAAAAGCCTTAGAGACCGGGCAGTGTGCAGCGGGGTTGTATTCCTTGTCGGGAGCCAATGAGCCAACTACAAGTGAAGCTCTGAGAGAGAAGCCTAAGTAGCAGTGGAGCCTCAGAATTCTGTGGATGTCAGGAATGTGGGGCTGGTCTGCTCTTCGTCTGACCTTCAGTCAGAGTCTCTGTTCTTGTGCTCCTCTACCCAGAACTTCATCATGTTCCTCCTAAGAGACGGGCAGGGCAAATTTAGTAAACATGATTGCCACATTGTTTCAATCTGAAATAACAAATGGGATGTAGCTAAGTTTTATTTCGTTCAAAATATGTGTTTTTTAGTTTGAATATTCACTACCCTAATCATCCATTCAGTTTCCTGAACTGTACCTTGTATTTGTGCTATGCCTGTACATCTATAAAGAACGTCCCTACTGGACGGATGCCTTCCAATTCGAAGGGAGAATTTTCTTTTCTAATTATCAGGGAAGGAGATCATCTGTCTTGTGTGTGTGTTTTTTGTGTTTTATTTTGATTAGGATGTGTTTTGAGTATTAAGCCTATGATGCTTTCCTATCCTCTGGAGTGTTTTGTTCTAATCATTGAGTTTATACTTAAAGCACTGTAGTGGTTTGAATGAGAAAGGACCCATAGGCTCAGGTATTTGAACACTTGGTGTGGTGACCCTGGGGAGGTTATGGGAAGGTGCAGCTTTGCTGGAGGAAGTCCCTCACTGGGGGTAGACTTTGAGGCTTTATAGCATTGCCCTGCTTCTCGATCACCCTCTCAGTTCTCTGTGTGAGGTTGGAGATGTGGCAGCTCAGCTTCCTGCCGCACAGCCATGCCTGCTGCCTGCTGCTGTGCTTCCCAGCCACTGTGGACTCCCTCTCTGGAACTGTAAGCCAAAAATAAACTTCTTATTACATGCTGCTTTTATTCATGATATTTTAACAGAGCAGCAGAAAATAGCTAATATAGAAATTGATACACAAAGTAGGTTGTTGTGAAAGTACTGACCGTGTTTTTCAGAGGAATGGGGAAGACTTTGGAAAAGTGTTTGAATGCTGGAAGCAGAGCTTAATGCTCCATTCTAATAGCCTGTACGACAGTAGTGCTGAGCATAATGTGGGTGGTAGCAGTCCTAATCATGAGACTTCAGAAGAGACTCAGTCTCCATCAGCAAGAAACTGAGTTAGAGGCCATTTGTTTGATATTTCGACAAAGAATCTGGCTGTTTTCTGCCCATGTCAAGAAATTACATGAGGCTGAATTAAAAAGCAATGGACTATTTTCAGGGTTGGAGGAAATTTCAAGACAGCATAATATTGAGCTTGTAATATGGCTGTTCCTAATAACTCTTGTGCAGATATGCAGTGAAAAATAACAAGTGGGACAGAATGAAGTACAAAATGTGCAGTTTGGAGTTGTGGATTCTTCCACCTCTGTTTCAGAGCGCCACTGAGACCAGGCAGCAAGTGGGAAGTGAGTCCTTGCACGTTTATAAGGGGCAATTAAAGAAGCAATTAAAGTGAATCCTGGGTTGCTGTGAATATCCCAAGACATTGGAGATGCCAGAACTATGAGACATCTGCCAAGATAGCTGCCTATAGAGAGTGGAACCAGCCGAAGAGCGAGATAAATGTTACAGGCAGCACAGCTGGAGGAGTTGACTAAACCCTTGAAACTAAAGTCCCAGACATTTGATATGGAGCTGTAGGATTTGATGTTTGCCCTGCTTGGTTTTAGTCTTGCTTTGGTGCAGTGCTTTCTCACTATAGCCCCATTCCTTCCTTTTGCAATGGAAATGTCAATGTGTAATTTGTTTTTTATTGTACAGGGGTCACAATTAAGAGATTGCTTTGAGTCTCAAAGGATACCTTGCACTTGAATAGAGTTGAAACAAAGACTGTAGGGACTTTTAAAGTGAAACTGAGTGCATTTTGTATCTTGAGATAGTCATGAGCCTATGGAGGCAGGAAGTAGAAGGTGGTGGTTTGAATGAGAAATGTCCCCTACAGGCCTAGGTAGTTGGACAATTGGTCCCCATTTAGTGGTGCTGTTTGGGGAGGTCATGGAGAGGTACAGCTTTGCTGGATGCAGTTCATAACTGAAGGTGGACTCTGAGGATTATTTACAGGGGTCACAATTAAGAGATTGGTTTGAGTCTCAAAAGATACCTTGCACTTGAATAGAGTTGAAACAAAGACTGTAGGGACTTTTAAAGTGAAACTGAGTGCATTTTGTATCTTGAGATAGTCATGAGCCTATGGAGGCAGGAAGTAGAAGGTGGTGGTTTGAATGAGAAATGTCCCCTACAGGCCTAGGTAGTTGGACAATTGGTCCCCATTTAGTGGTGCTGTTTGGGGAGGTCATGGAGAGGTACAGCTTTGCTGGATGCATTTCATAAATGAAGGTGGACTCTGAGGATTATTGACTCACCCACTTGCAGTTCATTCTCTCTGCTTTATGTTTGTATCTGAAGGTGTGAAAGCTCAGCTTCCTGCTCTGGCCCCATGCTTTCCACTTCCTGCCATGCGTCCCTGCCATTATGGACCCCTGCTAAAATCTTCAGCCAAATAAACTCTCTCATAGGTTGCTTTTGGTCAAGGCATTTCGTCACAGCTACATAAAAATAATACAGGAGTATTGACTTTGGTTTGATTCGATTTTATAAATAAGAATTCTACAACTGATATCCTATGATCAGTGATTTACTGTGTAGACACTGACCAGGTAGGAAGCAAGGTGATATGAGGATACTGAGCATCAAATGTTAGTAAGATGCTGTTATATACCCCACACTGAGGTAAAAGCCATATGTATAATGGGGAGTCTTCATGAGAATCTGCTCCTTCAAGGAATATTGAACATTAGTTGCCCATTTTCCCCAAAGGACAAGTGGTTTAAGTACAAATGAAAGGCCTTTTGTGAGATGTGAGGTTTGTTCTGATGGGTTCCCAGAAGCACCTGGCATCCTTTGCACATGATTTCTATTCAACATCTCTTTTATTTTCCTTTGAGTTTCTGCTAATTTTCTGTCCACACTGTTCTTCAATGTCTATTTTTATTGAATTTTTGTACATTTGATACAAAACTTCTAATCATCTTTATGCGCTCTTCCCATCTGTACCCCCCTATAACCCCACCACCACCAGATTTCATGAATTCTGTCATATATCTTAAGCTCTATCAGGTCAAGTGAGTGTACCCAGGCTGCCCTCAGTGCAAATTCATCCACTGGGCTTTGGTCAGCCTATATAAAGTCTCTCCCTTAAAGAAGATCCTCTCTCCCTCACCCAGCTGCCAATACTTCTTCGGATAAGGTTGGGGCCTGCCGCCCATATTCCCAGTTCTGTGCTGGGTTTTTGTTTGTTCAAGTATGGATGGGCTTCTCACATGCTGTCACCATTGCTGTAAGTTCATATAAGCAAGGTTTCTGACCCTGGAAGTCTCTTTCCTTATGGTCCTGCACTTCCTCCCTGAGTCCTACAATCTTTCCTCCCTCTTTTCCATAATGGTCTCTGAACACTAGTTGGGTGCAGGACCATAAGGAAAGAGTCCTGTCTAGGGACCCACATTCTGCAATCTCATACTCTGCACTTTGGCCACTTGTGGCCCTTTCTGTTCAACGTCCTCTGTTTCATGAGGAAGATTCACTGAAAAGAGTTGAGATCTGCATTATTATTCTCTCTGACCCTTGTTCCACTATGTTTCAAGAGCCTTAGGTGTAGAGGATCCACTGTAGATGTGTCCCTTAGGGTTGAGTATCTCACAGACACTTATTCTCAGTGTGTGACCAGTTGTGGAACTCTGTAATATCAGTTGCAAAAGAAGCTTATTTGATAAGTGGTGCCTGGCATACTTGTCTGGAAATATAAGGATCCACATTTAACATATACATTTGTCTAGGGATGTGACAGCCTTAGGGTTTTCTCTAAGATCTATGACCTCTCCAGCCATGTGTATTTGTCTGTGTTTACTGTGTCACACTTGAATTTCCTCCCATTGAGTGGCTTTTAAGTCCGTTTAAGTAGGTGAAATTCAATGAGACTTCAGTGAGCATATGGAATGTGGACCCTGAGTTAATATCAGTATGTTTTTGTGTTTACAGTGGGCTCATGAAACCTGGTCTCAATGCCATTATGGGACCTGAAGATGGAAGCAGGTCCTTGTGAGTATGACAGGAACTATATGTAAAATGTATGTAAACCTTTAGTGTCCAGTTTGTGTGCTTTAAAAAATCACCCAAGAGTCACTTGTTAAGGTGTTGTTTAAGCAATTGAGTGTGTGCATGTCTAGTCTGGAGTGTGGATAATATGCAGTTTGGATACATTTTAGTTTGCTTCCAAGGCCTAGGGCATCT